TGATTCTATGTAGTTCTGTTGTTGTTGTTTTGTTTGTTTCCATTTTATTAATTTCACCCCTGAGTTTAATTGTTTTTTTCTGTCTATCTTGAGTTTAATTGTTTTTTGCTGTCTACTCCTTCTGGGTATGATTTCTTCTTTTTTGTTTTAAACTTTCAGGTGTGCTGTTAAATTATCATGAGATATCTTCATTTTTTAATGTAGGCACTTGGTGCTATGAGCTTACCTCTTAAAACTGCTTTCATTGTGTCCCAAATGTTTGGGTATGTTGTATCTTCATTTTTACTCAGTTCTAGGATGTCTTTCTTAATTTTTATTTCTTAATTTTTTTTCTTGACCCATTTTTTGTTCAGTAGTGAGTTGTTCATTTTCTATGAATTTCTAAGATTTCTGTTGTATACAGTTTTAATCCGTGGTGGTCAGATAGGATGCAGGATATTATTTCAATTTTCATGTACCTTTTGAGTCTTGCTTTTTGTCCAAGCATACATATTTATGAGAAAGTTCTGTGAGGTACTGAGAAGGTTTATTCTTTTGTGTTTGGGTGAAATGTGCCATAAATATCCTGGGTCCATTTGGTTTATAACGTAAATTAGCTCCATATTTCTCTGTTCAGTTTTTGTCCGCATGTCCTGTTTATTGGTGAGAGTGGGCTATTGAAGTCTCCCACTATCTGTATGTGATGATACATATGTGATTTAAACTATAGCAGTGTTTCTTTTACAAACTTGGGTGCCCTTGCCTTTGGGCATAGATGTTAAGATTTGATACATCATCTTGATGGATTTATCCCTTGATTAGTATGTAGTGTCCTTCCCTATCTTTTCTGGTTAGTTTTGGTTTGAAGTTTGTTTTATCAGATATTAAAATGTCTACACCTGCTTACTTCTTAGGTCCATTTGCTTGGAATATATTTTTACATCCTTTTACTTTGAGATGATATCTGTCCTTAATGTTAAGGTGTGTTTGTTGGAAGTAACAGAAGGATGGACCCTGTTTTTGTATCTATTCTGTTAGTCTGTGTCTTTTTGGGGGTTGACACCATTGATATTGAGAGTCATTGAGGAGCAGTATTTGTTGATTCTGTTGTTTGTTGTGGTGTATATGCCCCCTCTTTTGTTTGTTATTCTGAGATTATTTATTCCTATGTTTTCTTAGTGGTCATTTTCTTCAGGCTGAAGATTTACTTCTAGCTCCTCTGTAGGGCTAGATTTATAGATAGATATTGCTTAAATTTGGTTCTATGTTGGAAGCCTTTCTTTCTCCATCTGTTGTGATTGAACATTTTGCTGACAGTAGTGATCTGATCTGGCCTCTGTGGTCTCTTTAGAGTGTAGAACATCTGTCCAGACCCTTCTTTCTTTTAGAGTCTCGATTGAGAAGTCAGGTATTAGTCTAATAGGTTTTTATATTTTGTTTGGTCCTTTTCCCTTGCACTTTTTTGTTTAAACAGATCTTGCCTTAAGTTTACTTGTGACAAAAGGATAGGGCACTGACCACCTGCAAATAGTGTGTAGGTGTGTCACACCAGTCCATCTGTCTTCACATTGGCAGATAGAAACCTTTTCTATGGGGCCTTCACAAAGGACCTGGATACCTTTGGGAGCCTGAGCTAGAGCTGAGGCTGCTGCCTTGGTTTGAACTTTGGGCTTTGGTTGGCAGAGTTTACGACCCTTGGTCATGTATCTTCGAATCTGTTTCCCGAGCTTGGGGTGAGCGATGAATGCAAGAAGGCTGAGTTTGTGGTTGGGACCCTTTGGTACCTTGGCTTAACCACCTTAGGCTTCACAAGGCCTTGATGGCCTCTGCTTGTGAACTCATTGCCTTTGCATTGTTCGCCTGCATCTTCTTCAGGTCTTGTCTTTGTTTTGTGGGTGTTTTGTTCCTTGGTTTCCTGTTGCCCTGTCTAGTTCTTAAGAGGGTATGGTGGCTGTGTGTTGCCTGATAGGGAATTATTCTAGGGTCTTGCTAGGTGTGGCCACTGGTAGTTCAGAGTAGAATGCATTTCTGGATATTGGGGGTTGACACTTAGGAATGGGAATGCACTAAAAGGTGGTGAGTGCTGAGGGAGACCACAGGAGGGAGGAAAACTCGATATTCCACATGGATCTGTTTAGTCCCCTAGGAATCAGTGTAGAGAGTGAGAAGACGCCACAACAGGTAGTCTGCTACAGAGCTGGGGATGAGACTGGGGGACTGAATTTGGAGGAGAGAAAGTGAAGATCTGAAGCTTGCTGATCTGCTCAGTTGTCCTTCTTGCTTCTCTGGAAGGCTTGGCTGATGCATGCCCTGGTAATGTCTGCTGGAGTTGGAGCCTGAGACTATGGATGAATTGTGAGGGGGGTTGGAGGGGAAGATCTGGGATCTGCTGGAGATGGAGGCAGAGAGGGAAGAGAGGTTACTTCAGGTGGTCTTCTGCAGAGCTGGGGATGAGACTGGGGGATTGGATTTGGAGGAGATGAGGGAGAGGTGAAGATCTGTAATTAGCTCATAGGCTTCCCTGGCCAGCTTGCTATGGGTTTCCCAGGGGTTGCCTGCTGGAGATAGGGGCTGGGATAAAGGGATGAGTGGGGGAAGGGAGGTTGGAAGATAAGATCTGTGTGCTCTATTTCAGACTTGGGGGGCAGTTGCAGAGAAGGATGGGAGGTCCCAGCAGGTAGTCTGCTCCAGTGCTGGGAGTAAGAGGCAGTCAGGGATTAGATTTGGAGGAGGGGAGGGAGTGGTGAAGATCTGTAGTTAGCATACCTGCTTCTCTGTCAGGCGTGACCTGCTGAACGATGATTTCCAACTACCAGTGAGTATAAGAACTATGGTGGGATGACACATGTTTTGAGTTGTTAGTTTAAAAGCTGTAATCTCAAGGATTATCTTTTTTTTTCTTTTTTTTAATAAGGCGTGGTTGAATTGCTGTCTGAAAACTAAGGCTTGAGCTGTTAAGTAATTTAATTAATATTTCTGATTTTCACATCCCTAAATGATTTCAGAGATGTCACCTATCTATCCCGAGTTTTCTAGGCTCTCACACAAAGCATCAACATGCTTACTGTGAACCTGTCCGACCTTTCGTCCCAAGCTCGTCCTTGTCAGACTGGATCCTAAGCTTTTGCACAGCTCTGGTCCTGGACTTCTCTGTTCTTTGTGGTCTCTGTTGTGTTTCCCAAGCCCCTGCATTCTTTTTGGTCTCCCTTATTTCATTGAAGCCAGGAGGAGAGTTTGTGAAGCCTGGAATGGCTGAGCATGGTGTTACCTCACCCTCACACTCCATCCAAGGCCTCCTTTCCTCTGGTTGGAAGGCATTCATCTTCTCACTTGCCTGGTCTTAACTGAGAAGTTTGCTGACTTTTGTAGTCTGTCCTCTTGAGTCTTACCTCTTTGTCTTCTTGGAAATACCAGGTTTTTTCTCTTCCTATTCTTGAATTTCACAGGAAACTGAAGCATGGCTTCCTCATCTCCCATGTCATCATCTGTTCAGTCAGAAGACTCAGGTCTGAAGAGGAGGGGCCATTCTGGTGGTGTTTTAAGAAATGCTCCATTTTCTTTCTTTGGGAGCCGCCATTATTCAGTGGCCTGATACAGGCTGGTGTTGTGGTATTTTCCCTCTTATTAGCTGCCCGTCTGTCTTTTTCTTCTCGTTCCCAGGTGATTTTCTTATGCTGTTCTCTATCTTTCCATGTTTTGAGGTTTTTTTCCCCCTCACCTTTTAGAATTTCTGAGAATTCTTTTTTCCCCCCAAAATTTTATTACCACTGTGGAGGTGGTGGTGGCGGCTCACGGGCTATAGAGTATGTGTGGAGGTCGCATGATAACTTTGTGGGTCAGTTCTCTCCAGCCAACACGGTGTGAGTCCATGGATTGAACTAAGGTTCCCACAGGTTGCCTGGCCTTCCCTCTTTCTTGTTTTCCAATAGTTCCTTTTAGCGCCCCCTTTTCTTCATCTGCTGAGGGGATTAAGGCAATTTAAAGTTCTCTTCTGTAGCATAGTCTGTTTTTGTCATGGTTTTCATTTGCTCACTATAAACATACGTAAGCTGTTTAACAGATATTATTACTGTATATGAATACTGTGTGGGAGTGTGGATGTGTGCACATCATGGTGCACATGTGTGCTCAGAGGGCAGCTTTCTGGGGGTCACTTCTGTTCCTTGTGTATGTGGGTTCCAGGATTTGAACTCACTCCATCATGCTTGCGTGGAAAGTGCTTTATCTAAACACTGAGCTCTCTCACTGGCCCTAGGCTGTCCATTTGCATTGAAAGAAAGTAATAAACTGAATTAGAAAATAAGTGTGGATTAAATAGTGAGACCGCTTGAAAATAAATAAGTAAATAAATAATAAAAGTAAATAATAAGCAAATACATAGAGTAGTTTTACATAGCTAAATAATTTTAAATCATAATTTTGTCATTGAAAATCAATTTATGATATGTATAATTTTTTAGAATAGGCTTTATCTGTAATGATGGTTACATAGTTTCTGAAGAATTAATTATATATACATGGTTCTGTTGCATTATGTATTAACTGGGTAATATTTATAAAGATATTCAAGTATGTGCCAAATACTTGGTAAGTCAATGATAGACCAATGTACAGTGGTGGTCCTGTGACATTGCTTCCATATTAATTTGTGTAAATGCACTTTGGGATGCTCACATGAGGACACATTTCGTGAGGTCTCACTTCTCTCCAGTAAAGTGACCAGTGACTGCAGTTACACATAGTTTTATAGTTAGCTTTTCTGTACCCTCATACAGGGTTGCTTTGACATTTTAAGTCATTTTACAGATGCTGCTGACATAAAGTGGAAGTGAATATAATTAATATTGCTATAATATTAGTAATACATTTTTCTGTAATTGATAAAGAAAACATGGGTGTAGTTCTTTTCTGTTATCCAGGATCAGTGCATTTTAAAGAATATCAGTTTGGTTTTTATCTCTTTGCTTGTTCATTGGTTCTAAACTTCAGGTGTTTTACATACCAATAAATTCTCCTTCCAGTTACTTGCCATGGTTTGAAGTATACTATAAGCTTCTCAACACGCTGGCAGATTACTTGGCGAAGGAACTGGTAAGCTGACTTCTTTCTCTTTTGCTTTATTGTGTTAAAATATACATAGTACAGAAGGAGCAGTTGTCATTTCAAAGATTATAGTCTTATGGTATTTATCACAGTCACATTGCTTTTGACCACCAGTACAGCATACCCGAACAAACCCAGGCTCTATACTCATTAAACAGTAGTTTGCCATTTCCTTTTCTTCCCTCCCCGGTCCCCACCACGATATCTTTATTTGCCTTCTTAACTAAAGGTCCCCACATAGGTGGATCTCGCAATGTTTGTCCTTGCTTAGTTCTCCTAATGTCTTACGTCCAAGGTTCTAGTGCTGTGCCATCTGCCAGAATTCTCTACCTTTTTAAAGCTGGATGATAATCAATGCATGGGTGCACTACAAGTTGTTTATTCACTCATGTGTTAGCAGACATTTAAGCTGTGTCTTCCTTGTATGTATTGTGAGTGAGACATCAACATAGATTATTGTTCAGCTGTCTCTCTCATCAGACCCATTCGTAGTTAGTGATAGAGAGCTTTCCAGGATATATAGAGCTCCTAGTCAAACAGAACAACCTGTTCCGGTAGTTACATTCAGTTTTGTTTTTCATCTATCTGAAGGTGTAAACACTAGATATTGGGATAATTCTGTGTTTCATTATTTGAGGAAAGGTCATATCATACATGCTATTTTCTACTATGGCTACACCATTTTACAGTCCCATTAGTAATGTACAAGGACACTTTTAATTATTTGCTTTCTATGTTTTTTAATTGTTAAATGATCTTTTCTTTGTTTCAGGAAGATGATTTGAATGAAACTCTCCAATCACTCTATAACCACCCAGTACCAAAGGCAAACACGCCTGTCAACTTGAGTGTGGTAAGTACTTTGTAACTTCTTTTTGGAGACAGTTCTTTCTCACTTAAGAACACATGCTTGTTCCAGGAGTCATTTGCGAAGTCACCCTGTTTCCAGAAAAACTTCAGTGACTGTGTTAACCTTGCTTAGTGCTAATGTCAAGACTTGTGACATGGTGTGATTCATGTAACTTGTATTGCATATTGTTATAGCTGTTAAATTGAAGACATAAAAAGCTATTAGGGACTGACAGTAACCAAATCTGTGGGAATATTTTGATTGTAAGGAACATTGGTTTTCCAAATGAAATCCAGACATAATAAAATCATATACCCACATGTGTATACACACACACACACACACACACACACACACACACACACACACACACACACACAGAGAGAGAGAGAGAGAGAGAGAGAGAGAGAGAGAAGAGAGAGAAACCTCTCCTGAAATGAGGCGTGCTTCAGAAGAGAAAGTTGCATAGTAACATGAAGAAGGAAGATTCCAGCTAGAACGGCCTGTCTTTCCTTACATGTGTACATACCTTCCAGGCTAGTTATGAAACCCTGGAATGTGGTCAGCGTTCCAGCGAACAACACGTTTATGGTGCCAAGTTTCTGCTGAGACTGTCAGTGAACTTTGGCACTTATTTCTACTTACGTTGATATGCCAGGCTTTGTATTGTGGGGACTTGTAAATATCCAAAGTTGTAGATAACGATGGAGGTTTCATTCATGTCTTTTGTTAATTTTTCAAATAAAAATGGATTTTTTTATTGATACTGTCATTGTTTCCTGTGAATATGTTGGATTTTTTTTTTCTTTCTCACAAAAGAAGAAAAAATTAATAGGGCAAGAACAACTTTGAGGAGATTCTTTGTTCACGTGAGGCCTTTTGCAGGTTTGAGTGATGATGAAATTGTTCTGCTCATATTCTTTGTTTGGAAATACCTGTCCTCATGCCTGTGATGCCCTGCACTGCAAGGATAACAGTGCTCTCTCTCCTCTCAGTCCATTCTGAAGTCCCACTGTTTGCACTCGGAATCAGTTCTTTAGTTCTACTTAACCTATTCTTTCCTTCTAGTTCTGCCTTCTAAAGACTGTCAGAGTAAACTTCTGTAAACTCATTAATTCTCTGTTAAAAAAATTATTTTGCACTTTGTTTGAAATTTAAAAAAGTTTAGTGGACCCCTAGGGATTAGGTATTCTAGGCAACCACTCTACCATGGAGACACATCCCCTGTTCTGAAAATTTCTTTTTATTTAACATTTTTTATACAATACATTTGATCATATTTCCCCTTCTCCCACTCCTCCCAGATCCTCCCCCACCTTCCTACTCACCCAATTTCATGTTCTTTCTCTCTCAGAAATAATAGCCACAACAAAAACTGAACCAACCAACTAACAAACAAATAACGCAAGTATAACAACAACAATAAAACCCAAACAAAACAAAACACACACACAACAGAAAGCCATGGAGTCCATTTTCCGTTGACCATCTACACCTGGGCATGAGGACTGCCCTGAAGTGTGGTTGATATACCCAGTGACACTCTCTTTTCTCATAGATATCAGGAGTGGGACCTTGAGTCCATTTCTCTCTCTCAGTGCTGGGTCTTATCTGGCTTGAACCTGTGAAGGCCTTGTGCATGCTGACACAGTCTCTGTGCGTTCATATTTACATCAGTCATGTTGGGTCTGGAAGACACAGTTTCCTTGGAATCATCCATTGTCTTACTGTACGGTCTTTCTGCTTCCTCTTCTGCATAGATCCCTGAGCATTGAGGGGAGGGCCTTGATAAATACATTCCATGTAGGCCTGAGTGTTCCAGAGTCTCTCATTCTCTGCACATTGTCCCATTTATTGTAAGAAGAATCTTCCCTGATGAGGGTTCACTGAGCCACTAATCTATGGTTACAGCAATGTCATTAGTAGTCATTTTATTGCTAAGTTCTTTTTGTGGAATAATAGTATTAGGTTTTTCTCTAAGGAAAACCACTCAATGAGATAGACCCCTTCCTGACACTGCTAAAGTAGCTAAGAACCTTTAAAATTTTTTTGAGACCGAGTAGTGCATACTGTCTGTGAGCCTTACTATGTAGCTCTTGCTGGCATCCAATTTACAGTCCTTCTGTCTGAGCCTCCCATGTAGCCACCATACCTGTCTGTAACTCCCCACTTTATACAGACAATTTCCAAACTTTTGACTTAGACTTTCATGGTCATCCATTAGCTTCACTCCAAGCTGGCTGTCTGTCCATCCATCCATCCATCCATCCATCCATCCATCCATCCATCCATCCATCTATCTATCTATCTATCTATCTATCTATCTATTTTATTTCTGTCTCACTAATTTTTCCCACTCTGGTCTTACTGGTCTGGTTAGCATATCTTTTTTTTTTTTTTTTTTTGGTTTTTCGAGACAGGTTTCTCTGTGTAGCTTTGCGCCTTTCCTGGAACTCACTTGGTAGTCCAGGCTGGCCTCGAACTCACAGAGATCCACCTGGCTCTGCCTCCCGAGTGCTGGGATTAAAGGCGTGCACCACCACCGCCCGGCAAAGAACAACTTTCTTTCTTTTTTTTTTTTTTTTCTGGAGCTGAGGACTGAACCCAGGGCCTTATGCTTGCTAGGCAAGCGCTCTACCACTGAGCTAAATCCCCAACCCCTAGCATATCTTAAGTGAACACAATCCTTTTTTTTTTTTTTCACTCCAAAGCCTGTTTGTAGTCTGACTGACTTTAGAACCTGCCCTATTCCTAGTTATGAGGTTCTCACCAGACGGTTGACCGTGTTTGTTCTTTCCTGAAATCTTTGCTGCCTTCTTTGTGTGTTTTCATTTGCTGCAAACTGCCACAGTGGATAGATTCAATTTTTCACTGGAAACTAAGGAATGAAAAGCCAGGAGAACTTGGAATTTTAAGCTCATATTTGGAAGTCTTCAGCAGGCATAGCTGTTGCTATCTCAATTGTTTATTGGAAGCATAAAGGAAAAGCTCATACCTGCTCCCCCAGACTATTATGAAAAAGAAAGGAAATCATGTAAAAACTAGAGAAAAGACCAGGTAAGGAGAAACTCATAACTCACAGGTTATTGAATTCCAAATAATGCAGGGACCATCACGGGTAGTTGGAATGCAGTAGAGAGGTAGAAATGAAGGACAACAGATGAGCCCTGGATTTTATAAAGAGAAGACATCATTCTTTTCAACTATTACAATTACAAAGCAATCCAAACACTTAGTCAAAGAGTCATGCGCTCAATTAAAATATATGTGCTTAATTAAATAATGGATGCAGTTGTCGTAAGGTATTACTGAGTAATGAAAATGTACTCTGGAGCTGGAGAGATGCCTCAGTGGGTTCTTACCCTGCTGTTCTTGTAGAGGACCAGTTTTATTCCCAGCACTCAAGTCAGTGACTGACAGCTGCCTGTAACTCTGGTACCAGGGGATCTGATGCCCCGCTTTGGACTCCACAGGCACCCTCACACATTTGTGCATATACCCAAACATACAACATATGGATATAAATAAATCTTTACAAAATACACTCCATTCAAGTCTGTTATTTATTTAGTCTTTTTGGCTTTGGTATGATATCCAGGGCCTTGCCATCTACAACTGAGCTGTGTTCCAAGCCCTTATTTTCTTTTTAATAGATTAAATAGAGTAGTATTTGTTGATGGGATATGTTGTGATATTTCTCTGAATGTATTACATCAAGTTTTTTTATTGCATATATGAGTGAAATCATGCGGTTATTTGTCTTGTTGTATTTAGTGTAACATTCTCCAGTTTAACCATATTATCACAAATGACAAAATCTCACTTTTACCAGTCAGATAGTAGTTGCCATGTTTGTGCATGTGTGTAAATAAAATCCCCTTTAGAATGTCTATGTGTTGGTGGAAGGCAGGGTTGGTTCCATTGCCTGGCTGTTGTGCACAGTGCTTCCATAAACAAGGGGACAGTACGTCTGCAGCAAGCATGCTGTGCGGGCTTACTCGTGTCCCGTCTTTGAGCTCACACTCCAGAGTGGGATTGTTGCATCAACAGGACAGTTTTATTTTCACCTTTCGGAGAAGCCTCCGTATTGTCTCCATCGTTTCATTTCCAGCAGCAGTGTATTAGTGTTCTCTTCACAGCTTCCTCGGTGCCTTCTGCTTTCATCGGCTATCATACTTGCCACGGGGCATAATGCAGTTTTTGTTTGCATTTCTCTAGTGCTTGGTGATGTCAAACACCTTTCCATACACCTGGTGGCCAGTGGCCACTATCCCATAATAGTCTATAATAGGTTTCAAATCTGTGTATCGATTTTCAAGCTCTAATTACCTAATATATTAGTAAAATCCATTTATAGCTTTTTAAAATGAAGTTCAATAATAATTTATTTTGCTTTCAACAGCAGATTACTATGTACCCAGTTCTGTCCATTACTGATTGGCAGTTTGGAGACTAGAGCACTTGTCTTGAACTAGCCTTGGAGACTCATTTTATCTTACAGATTAAAACTGATGATCTTGGAAGTCTTTATTGGAAGTCTTGGAAGTGATTATTGATCATGGAATACTGCAGATTTTATGAAAAGTTAATATGTAATATAAGTGAGGTTTTTTTTTTTTTTTTAATTGTACTTAAGAAATCATTAGCTATTCACTGTCTTTGTACTCACAGTACAAAACTTCATTCAGGACATTTCCAGAATAGATTTGCAGGTCAGTATTTAGAATGTTCTGTATAATGAATATCACTCAAGTACTTCCAGGGCATAGTGTAGCAACGTGGGTTTGTCTCAGCACACAGGAACGTTTTGTGTAAACTTCCCCTCTGAAAGTAAAATGCTCATTTTTCTCTCATAAGAACCAAGAGCTATTTATTGCCAGTGAGCAAGTTCTGAAAGATCAGCCCTCACTGATGCCGGTGAGTGAACAGGACTCTGACTTCTCAAATCACTATTCTAAAATCACTGTGCCTTTCTGATTTATTCACTCTGGTTCTTTGGAAAATGGACTATTTAAAAACAATCATTTAGAGTATGTTTCCTGTTTATACTTTCTCTTTTTCCTAATTTTATGAAATACAGTCATGTGTGAAGCACATCCAAATAAAGGTGTTTGATGGATGTAAACTTGCACTTTCTCTTTTCAGCAGTGTGCTGAAGTACATTCAGTGCTTTCTTGAGATTCCTGTCATCTTTTCTTTTTTGGTCACAAGATCATCTTGTGACTTATACTGTTCTTCCCCCCTGGAAAATTATACATTATGACTGTGTGAAACAGCCTCTTACTTGTTCATCCCTGTTTAAATACTGCTGAAAGTTTCTGTTCCAATCTTTACATATAAAACAATATTAAATATATTCCTATATAATTAAGACATTAAAATGATTTAGGAGCATAATATGAACAGAAAAATCGAACAGTTTGATGATTACACTTTGATTTGGGTGAATAAAACGGGGGGCCATTTTTTGGACACTGTGAGGTATAGACTCAGCATTCTTTTCATGTAGATATCTGATGGCATTGCATTATTTATTTTGGAAGTTTATATTTATCTATTGGTGTTTGAATAAAGTTATAGTTTTGGATAGAAAATACATTTTTTTTTTCTGAGACAGGATTTCTCTGTGTTGCCCTGGCTGTCTTAGAACTTGCTTTGTAGACCAGAATGGTCTCAAACTCACAGAGGTCAGCCTGCCTCTGCCTCCAGAGTGCTGGGATTAAAGACATGTCCCACCATTGCCTGGCATCAAATACATTTTTAAGTTTTAATCTTTTAAAGATTATTTTTTATTGTTGTTTTCCAAATACACTTGCTACAAAACATTTATTATAGTTTATCATAGAAGCCCAGGACTCAGGAGATTTTTACGAACACTTTAATTAGCATGCTTTTTGATTTCAATCTATTTAAATATATTTTGGGAATACATGTTCATAGGTATATTTAAATATATATAACCTTTTGGTAATATATTCTTTTTTTTTTTTTGGTCTTAATACTTATGCAGAATCTTAATCTGCTCCTGTCCAATTTTAAAATCTCTTATTTTTGACCATTGCTTCTGGTATGAGACAGTTAAAGTTAGTTATTTAAATTTGCCATTTCATGTGAAATTATCTTACATTCAAGTCCAGATTGTTAGTCTGTGACATTGACCCGTCAGTGTTTTTTCTGATTTTTACTGTAATTATATGGAATATGAAATTTTAATTCTCCTGTCCTTGTGTGCTTTATTCCTGCTGACAGCACTCCTGTTTCATCGCCCCTGACATCACTGGACTCCCGACAATACCGGAGAGTGTAAGTGTCTGTGAATTTTTCTATGACTTCTTCATCTGATAAATGTGATTTTGTCCTTACTGTGTCCCTGTAGAGAAATTACAAAAGAGTAAGGAACCAGGGTGTCTTCTCCTTTTCCTCTCCATGTGTCTATCCCATTATTCCTTTCTTAATGCCTGTACTGATGAGGGAGGGAGGAAAGAATGTCTGTCACTGGGATGGTCAGTTAGGGCCTCACACACTCAGCTCTGGAGCTTGGCCATCTGAAATGTAAGGAAGTGTAGAGGTGTGGCTTCTACCAATGGGGGACAGTGATAACAGGAAAAAATTTCACTTTATAGTTATTTTAGTAAATGGACCATTGAACTTTAGACTTGTACTCTGTAACTTTGTTTAAGTGTCCTGGTTGTTGAGTTCATGGTTTTAATGTAATGCAGTAGGCATTTGATTAGACTTGAAGATAGTGTAAAAAGTAATAATTCTCGTTACATTGTTAATTGCACCTATGCTGGAAATACTTTGCGTTTCTCAAGAGTTATGCAAGTTAATACTTTCTGTAGGCGCTTACACAGTAAGTGGAAATGGTGGATATACTTCCATGCCATTTAGTAACTGTGGGAAAAGGAAAATACCCCCTTCAGTTTTTCTTAGAACATAAAATAAATCAGTTATAAACCATCAAACCAAAGGAAAATCACTAGAAAGATTTCCTTCAGGTATTCTTGTATACATTTCAGATGTATACTATTTTTCCATATAGTTTTCAAACCATTATAACATTTACTTTCTCAAACATAGGAATAGTGAATGAAGGGCAATTATGCAAACGTAAATTCTTCTTGTGCTTTCATGTGTGTGGGTCGCCATGTGTATGTATACATGTGTATGCACATACGTGAGTGCACGAGGAGACTGGAGGTCAGCAGTAGGTGTCCTCCTCTATTTTTCTCAGCCTTGTTTTGTGAGAAAGGCTGGAGCTTGAGCTTACCAATCTTTCTTGAAATCTACATGCCTCACCTCTCAAGTGCCAGGATTACAGGAGTATGCGGCCACGTCCAGATTTTCATGTGGATGCTGAGGATCTCAGCTCAGGTCTTCATGTTTGTGTGGCAAGGGTTTTACAAGCTCAGCCATTTCCCAAGCCCCCCAATTGTAAATTTTCTAATATCAAATCAAGACTGTCAAATTTAAACTTTGTACAAGATCAGTCCTGTGAAGTCCATTGAAAGGGTTTCTCTCAGATAAGTTCTATCAAAAGACTTCGCATAAACTTGATCTTACAGCGTGGTTCAGGATAGACTATCCAGCTCTCAGGTCTCATAATGAATCCTTGACTTTTGTACCTGCTGGACATAAGGTCATGGCTGCTGACTGTTTTCTGACTCAGATGTCTGTGACCTTGTCACTCGGAAGTCTTGCAGAGTTACTCTCTTCCTCTTGCCCTTTAGTTAACGTGCATTTAGTTACATTCACTAGCAAACAGCTAATAGTTTCCATTTTAGGTTTTACTTTTTACATATGTAGAAGTGGGGGAGAGGAGACAGAGCGAGGGAGAAGACAGACAGACAGACAGACAGAGGGTGAGACAGGGAGGGGAGGAGGAAGAGAGAGAATATGAATGAATGAATTTGTGCAGGTTAGATAACAGTTTATGAGATTTAGCCCTCACTATCTGGGTCCGAGTGATTGAATTAGGTTATCATGTAAGTAAGTGCCTTTCCCTGCTAAGCTATCTTGAGAGCTCTAGTTTCATCTTTAGAGACTATCATTTTCAAATATTTAAAGAAACAAACATTCCACTAGAAACCAGTTACTGAGAACATAAAAAAATAAAGTTTTATGTTATCATTGCTATACCTTCCCATTGTCCTGTTGAGAGAAACAGCATAGAAACACCCAGCAGGGCTGTATGTTGGAGGGCAGTTCTCCACTTAGGGATGGCTTTGGGATAACACAAGTAGCTCTGCTGCACGTTATAAATGAAATATTGTCATCGAGTTGAGTTGGGAGGTGAAGGATGCTTCACAGACAATAGGAAGTGAACCTCTCCCCTAAAGGTTGAACACCATGCAGAGACTTCAGATTTTATTTATTTGAGATGTTATGATTGACAGTTTGTCTTGTAAGATTCCTGCCTTCTACCAATTGGAGAAACAGGTAGCTTTCTTATGTTCTTGACCCCACCCCCAAGTTTCAGCCTTTCAGATCTTTATCTGCTGTTCTCTATACTTTCTGTGCATTAGAATATTTGCTTTCTAAAATGCTTTTTTTTTTTTTAAACAGCCAGTTGGAAGTAATTCCTGAGGACAGGCCCTAAGGAGCACTGTTAATGTAGCTCACCCCCATTTTGTTTTGTAGTGGGGTCTAATGTGTATTACATTGAGGAATCAATTTAAAACATCACAGTTGCGTTTGATTATAGTAACAAAAAGCAAGCCTGATGAGGGGTAAAACCTAGAGATTTTCTTTAATAAGGAAGCACAGGATGGTTTATAAATCCCCCTTCTCTGTTGGGTGCCTTGGGTACCAGAGAGGGAATAGTAAACATGAAGTAATTCAAATGTAGTTTTCCAGAGTAGCCGTTTCACAGGCATCAGTGTACATGTGAATCACCAGGAGTATTTGGTTAAAACTGGGGTCCCTGGAAACATGCTCTAAAGATAATCATTCAGTAGGCTTCCATTGGAGCTGGAAAAATGGTGTTGTGGGGAGGAAGACTGGAGTGGGATCCATCCTGTGGTCATCCTTTGAGAAATACTTGTATAGAATAGACGATGTTTTAGATGATGGTAGGATGTAGAAATATCATGTGGCAGCAGAAGAATATTACATTTAATATTATTAATGAATGCCCTTCTATTAATATCTTCTTTTGAACTTTAAGACTGGTAAATGTATAAAATGTTTTCCCTTATATTTCTGTGAACTGCAGCTCAAACAATTCTTTTCCCTTGTCCAGAGAAACCTGACAGAGTACTTTGTTGCTGTGGATGTGAACAACATGCTGCGACTGTATGCCAGCATGTTACATGAGAGGCGCATCATTATTACCTCGAGCAAATTAAGCACTGTAAGTCCTTCACGCTTTTTCCTTTGACTAACACGTATTGAGTGCTTCACAAAAAGACCTAAAAACGTCTGCAGATTTAGAGCTGCACTACATGTACTTAAAAGACAATATCTACATATTTTTAATATATGGTTTGAATCTGGCTCTTGGAGTATAAAAGTCTGATTTATAGAAGCCTTCCCAGATGCATTAAGTCAGGTTAATTATTTTCCCTTATCAGGAGATGAGGTGTTTTTTTTCCCCCTGCTTTTAAACTCTCTGGAGTTCATTTTAGTGCCTTCATCACATAGAGAACTCTTAAGAGCTATTATGAGATCTTTATTATTCACTTGTGGCTTTTTCCATTGGAGCTACTTGAAAGAAACGGCGGGGCCATGATAATAGCTGCTCTCCTAACCTGGGAATAGCAGATTCATCTTTGTTGCGGTGTGGGCTCAGGAGTAGATTCTATAATAGTTCTGGTTTGGAGGAGCTCTTCAGGCTGATAATAACTCAGAAGTCAAAGTAGCATTTTTATAAATCACAGGTTTTATGGCACTCACTTCGATGTTCGTCTGGAGGCTCTTCATTACTGTGGGAAAGGCAGGAATAGGACTTTTCTTAGGTAACAGAAGAATATTCAGAAGTATTTTGTTAGAGTTCATATTTTCTTCATTAAATATAAAATTTAGTATTTTCAGATTCAAAATGTGTAAAACAAATTAAGTGATTTGAGTAATATGTGGTATATTAAAGCCATCTTAAATTGTTTCTTCATAAATTTACTTCATGTAAAACAAAAATCTACTTTTAATATTTTATTCTCATACAATAGAAATAAAATGCTTCTTTAAAAATATTGTAGCATTTTAGACTAGATGGAGGTCTGACATTCCTCCAGGTTATCACGTTAGTATTTAGTCATAAGAAAGGCATTTTCTCGGGCTAGAGAAACGACTCCGTGGCTGAGAGCACTCCGTGTACTTGCAGAGGGCTGGGATTTGTAGTGGTCTGTAACATCAGTTCCAGAGGTCTTTTGGCCTCTGTGGGCACAAGGCATATATGTGGTACACACACAGATGTGCATGTAAACTTCATACACATGAAATTAAAAAAATAAAGCAAAACAATAGAAAACAAGGCATTTTCAGAGAAGGTAAATCACCATTCCAACACCACAAAACTATTGGAGATCCATAGTATGAGCCAAAACAGGTCCTGATTCTTTGTAGGGCCACACCTGTCACCCTGGAGTTGATTGCATACAAATTTGAGATACTGAGTATATAATATTGTTATATTAATTACTTTCCAAATTGAAAGTGTTTATCTTGAAAATAATGAGATGTTAGAGGAAACTGTGTGTCGATATGAGGAGAGACATCAGAGCACATGTACTAGTGAGTGATCCCAGTCTTCATTTTCTCTCCCGGTTTTAAAGAGCTGTTGAGGACTCCACATGAGTGATCTGGTGTTTAATGTTTACTCTTCCATTCAGGGCTTGCCATTGATGTGCAGCCAACCATCCTTTATCCTCCCCTTTCTGCTCCTCTCCTTATTTTCAAGATTTTAAAAATATTTTTGATGAGAATTATTCTCACGATGACAAAGATTTTTGTATGAGCTCTCTTATAGATTTAGGAAATAATTCATGCATAAAATATTTTTGTGCCTGACACTTTCCTAGGTACTGTAAGTTCATCCGTAAGACAACCAAGGCCTGTTTGTATGCTTATATTTAACTGGCATGAAATATATAAACAGCGGAACAAATAAGCATCTATTAAGTCATATGGAATGTGTACTAATGTTTGTTTTTTGGCTCTTTTTTGGGGGCCCACCACCCAGCTCTCAGATAAATCACACCCGGAGCCTTATTGTTCCTTATGAATGCCTGGCCTTAGCTTGGCTTAGTTTCTAGCCAGCTTTACTTAACTTAAAATTAACCCATCTGTCATCTGCCTCTGGGCTTTTCCCTTTCTCTTCTGTAAATCTTATTCTCACTCTGTGGCTAGCTATGTCGTTGGGTGGGTGGCCCCTGAATGTCCTTCTCCGTCTTTGGCTCCTTTTCCATTTGTGGAAGCATGGTGTAAAGTTAGTTTGATTATATTTTTACATTTTTAAGTTTAATGTGTTAGGACATCATTGGTTTTGCCTTTATTATTTGATTCATACATTGCCAGGGACACAGACTGACTTCTGCCAGTCCCAAACAAGCTAGTTGATTTTACGCATGCTGTAGGCAGGCCTAATGTTTTCAGCCCCAGTGAATCCTAGTAGACTAGCACAGCATCATATCATGGTCTCGTCTATTCAAAGCGGAGGAGTAAATCATGATACTACACAGTTGTATTAGTTGACTTATTGCTGTTTTGTGACCGTAGATAGGGAGGACCGATGTTTAAAGCCGTGTCATGGGTTCTCAAATCAGTCAGGCATGAAGCCTTGTCATATGCTTCTGTAATTGTACCTCACTAGACTGCCTCTAACTAGTCAGCTGGGGCTGTGCATTTTGTCTCAAACACCCAGCTGGCCAGCATCTGACAGGAGCTTTCTCATCATCCTGTCAGTAATATGTTAACTAGGGTGTACATTTATGGTTTGTAGAAGCAGGTAAAAGGGATGTATCTCTTTAAAGCAGATGTCTAAATGTTAGCACTGTTTTGACCAACGTACAGTTGGTAAGTATCATCCTTTTAATGATGTCTGCACATCATTTTCAGAGAATTGATTATATATGCATATTATTTCTGGAATATTTAGAGCAAGTGGTATGCTGTGAGTGCTGGAATTGTGCTAATAAATTGTATGTTCTTCTTTGTTATAGCTTCCCCCAGGCGTTTAAGCATATGCTTTTCTCTCACCTTCTCATTAATTCCATCAAAGGGCATATGCAGAAAAACATCTTGTGATCCCCAGCAAATCAGCTATTAAACAGTAGTTTTTATAGGCTTTGACTAAGGGGAGTCTAGAGCATTTTAACATCCTTAGCTGCATTGTGTATATTCATTTTTGTCTCTTAGTGGAGCCAGGTATATCTTCATTTAGCTGAAACTTAAAGCACAGAGACTCTTTAGGAGATTAAGATTGAGCAGTTGATGGGAGAACAAAGTGTACCCAGGTTTGCTTCCTGATTGAATTTGTTGTTGAAGTGGGTTTGCCTTGTGTTTTTAACACAGCAGCAGAGAAATGCAGTTAAAATTTTTTATCTGGACTTTTCTAAGAGGTCTTCTAGGAACAATTTTTAAATTTTGCAATATCCACCATCTATAGACTCTAGTAAGTTCCCTGAAACTGTGGATAATGACTCTGCTTACCAGTGTATTATTTGACAGGTGTACACTGCCATACTTAACAGTGTATTTCCAATCATCCCTATGTGAATATGACTAAGTGTGGCAATGGCTGTGTTGAGGTCCTTGTGAAACGCTTTGCAGGAAGGCATGTTGTGCAGGTTAAGAGGAGGTGGAGGCCTTTAAAGAAAAATACCAGTACCTCTATTTTCCCTCTCTCAGAGGTACCCCATTTTTCCAGGGAAGTATGCACGTTTTTCTGCCCAAGAGTTTAGCCGATTTGTCTTTTGAAAGCATAACGTGGCCTTGACTTCACGCAGCAGAAGGGTATGACAGCATGGAGCTGGGTTAGTGTCGCATTTAGTCGCCATGCAGGTCCTCTCAGCTTCACTCCTGCAATGCTGGCCACCAAAAAATTGACCTTGGATTATTTCTGTTAACTGAATTGTCCTCTCTATAGAACAATGACTTAATTTTGTACTATTGACTATGAATATCAAATGTAAGGAAAGATACACACACACACACTGTGACACTGTGTATATCCCCTTTGGTTAAACTGCTGCTCAAGATAACTTGCTTTTTGTATTTTCTGTATTTTTATGCTTTTATAACACACACACACACACACACTCACACATTCATTTTCGGGTTTGACAGCATTTCTCTTTTGATGTGTGCCCTCAGGTTATAAACTCCCAAGCAACTGACTGTAGATATTGTACCCAACATTGTCAAAGAGAACTCATCAGATTTTTCCATAATCACTTCCCACTATCTAGGGCTGATTTGGTAAATGGCATCACCAACTCATGCATCTATAGAGTCTGTGTCTGTAATTCCTTTTTCTCTGATTCACGCTTTCCATTTCAGCTGCCCACTGTCTTAGTTAAGGAGACTACCCACAAACATTCCTTTTAATAGTATATAGTGAATGCTAACATCTCAATTTGCATATGATGTTATCAGTAGTATCTCTGTAACAGTGCATATTGTGAGTTAGTCTCTTTTATGAGCAAATAATGTGAAATGATTTAATCATCATTTACTATGGGATAAGTGCTGTTGGTATCTAAGTGAACAGATGAAAAAGAGGATTTTTGAAACATAGGGTAAATTTTCCAACCTCATGAAACTAGTGTGTAGTTCAGTCAGTCTGTCTCACTCTCAAACTGTGTATTGTCAGTCTTCATGCAGTTCTACCCTTCTGCCATGGCTGTCTTATAAAACCAAGTAGATCTTTGTTTTTTTCCTACCACAGCATCATCCGCAGTACTGAACTCCATCCTCTTCTCAAGCTCAGTCAGACTCCTCTGAATGTCTCAGTTTGTTTCCTCTCTCCTAGTTTTCGTGGTGGTGTGAGTGCTCACATTCATCTTCTGCTTAGACTACTCATATCATTAGTCTTGAGATTATGCCTGTATATAATTAATTACTCAATATTTTAGGTTAAAAAATAACATATTCATTGCCTATTTCCCATGCTCTTAGTTGGCATTAAATGCTACTTACCCTATCCTTCCCAGTCTCTAGACAGCAAAATCCTTGAGGCAGACTTTATTTATTTCCTCTACTTTTACTGAAAATAGACTTTTTTCATACAATGTATTTTGATTATTGTTTTCCCTCCCCCAAATCCTCTAAGATCTTCCCCATCCTACCCCCATCAGAATCTATACTTTTTCTTTTTTTCCTTAGAAAACAAACATCTAAGGAATAATAACAAAA